CTGATGTTTTGTGGTGGAACTCTATAGACATCTACCAAGTCCACTTGTTTACAGGCTTGGTTTAATTCTGATATTGTTGATTTTTTGTTGAGTTGATCTATCTATTTGTGAGAGTAAGGTATTAAAGTCCTCTGCTACAATTGTGTTAGTGCTTATTTGGTTATTCATGTCTATCAATATTTATTTTAGGTAGTTGGGTGTACCTGTGTTTGGTGCAGGTATGTTTATGATTGTTATCTCTTATTGGAGTTTTCCCTTAACAAGTATGTAGTGATCATTCTTGTCTCTTAATCAGTCTTGGCTTAAAGTTTACACTGTGTGCAAACAGAATAGCTAACCCTGATTATTATGGGTTTCTGTGGCATGGAGAATTGTTTTTCATCCTTTGAAAGTCTATGAATTTCTTTTTGGTTTAAATGTGTTTCTTGCATGCAGCATACTGATGGATCTTGTTTACTGATCCATTCTGCCAGTCTCTTTCATTCAGTTGGTGAGTTGAGATCATTTACATTGATGATTATAACTGATGTATATTGGTTTATGTTTTTCATGTTATTTTTCTATTGTTGATTGCCTTTCTTCTCTGTTTAATTGATTGGCCTGCTTGGTGGTTTCTTTCTATTGGTGTTTGTATGTTTGAGATCTTCATTATCTTTTTTTTAATATAACCTTCAAAGAATTCTGTATAGCTGGTTTGGTGGCCATGGATTTGTTGCTCTCTTTCATTGAAGTAGCTTATTTCTCCATTGAATTTGAAAGATAGTTTTGTGGGGTACATCAATCCAGGTTGAAGATTGCTTGCTTTTAGGTCTTGAAATACCTCACTCTTGACTCTTCTTGATTTGACAGTTTGTGTGAAGTGTGCTGTGATTCTGATGGATTTCCTTTATAGGTGATTTGTTTTTTTCCTCTAGCTGCTTTTAATATTTCGTTCTTGTGTTGAGTTTCTGAATCTTGATTCTTATGCCTTGGTGTAGATTTATTTTATTTATGGCTACTTTGAGTTCTATAGGCTTATTTGTATGTCAAATTCTTTATCCATGTTTGGGAAATTTTCTGCCATTATTTCTATGAAGAGGATTTCAATGGCATTGTGCTGTCTCCAGCATTTAACACACTCCAATCAATCTTATAGTGTTATTCTTTGATTCATCTTGTAACTCTTAGATTGATTTTTCATGGGCCTTTGCTATTTTTATCTCCTGGATTTCTGTTTGGATCTGTTTCACTGATTTCATTTTTTATGTTGGGCACTCAAGGTTTCCATCATTTTCCTAACCTCGTCTATTTTTTTATGTGTCTGCTTTTATTTCTTTCATTTTGATTTTCATTTCTTTTTGTACATTACATATTATTTTTTTCCTATGGCCTCTTCCATTTGTTTTCTTTTTTTTTTTCTCACTTCTGCTGTCATTTCATAATACGAATGGTTGGTTTCTGACTTCCTCTGTCTCTTCGTACTCCAGACTTGTCCTGGGTGGGCTGGGTTTTGGGGATTGCATTTTACTTCTTCCTCTTGTCATTTTCTATTTTTTATATTATTTTGCCTTCTGTCTTATCCTTGTAGGTTTCTTAGATGTCTTTATCGACTTACTGAGACTTTCCTAGTTGATGTCTGTTCCTTAAGGATGTCCTCTAGATATAGGTGGTTCTTGGTCTTTCTGGGTATGGCAAGAACCTATATTCCCAGTGTATTCAGAATGTGATTTGCTATCTTTTTGGCTCAAGGCCATTCCTTTGGACTATGGTGATGGTTGTGACCCCTTTCAATCTCAGTGTTGTCATACAGGGGAGAAAAAGGTGATTATAACAGGCATAGCATCCTAGTTGATGTAGTAAAGTTAATAAGAACAATAGACTCAAGTACAGAAAGGACTCTGCTTCTTAGGCTCCTTCTCTTTGTCTTCCCAGCCTTTCTCACCCTCTGACTGCACCCATATAAACGAAGAACGAAAGTTTCCTTACCTGGATCTCCTTAATTTCTCCACCCCTGCTGCCTTTAGGATACTCTCTGCTTTCCTCTAACATATATAAAGAGGGAAATTTGTCTCCAGGGTGAGAAACTTCACTCTGCTCCATAGGGCTTTCTTCTCCCCACTGCTCACAGCCTTCTACCTACCATTGGACTAGAGGGGCGTATAGAAGAGAAGCATGGCATGGAAGATCTCTCTCCCTACCTAGATCTTCCTTTCACCATCCCTGCTTCCCTCTGCCATGCCATGAGCTTTCCTCTGTCACACAGTTCTGCCATATGACCTCAGCCCCATAGCGTGCAGACTGGCATTGCGGGCTATCTGGCTGTGATCCTGTTAGGGCCGACGCCGCAGGGAAAGAGACCCCAAGGACTCAACTCTTGGTGAGGGAAAAAAGTTTATTTCCATGCGCATGGGGTCCCTCAGGCAAACGTGTGCGGAGGGGCCCCGAGGGGAATCTGTGTAGGGTTTTTAAAGGTACAAGCAGGAGGCAAGCAAGTTTACAGAAGCAAATCGCATTGGTTAATTTTGAACGGCGCAGGACTTGGCTAACGCTGATTTGAGGGTCTGGGGCTGAGTAACCATGGAGACCGAGGGTCTTGGGTTGACCTTAGAGTGCCAGGTGCCCCCTGGTCCTGTTTATGTAGTACATTCTTTTGCTTATCTCTATCTTTACAGAGAACAGAACATCTAGTGGTTAATGACTAGCAGAGACATTCCTTTCTGCCCTGCTCTGATTATCTCCTGGGAAAGGTTTAGGGAGTGAAACATTCCTTATAGCTCTGTTCTATAGCTCGGGGGGGGGGGGGGGGTCACATTACAAACGGGGAGTCGATTCTCTCAATCCCACAAGCCTACCTAATAAATCCCCTTATATAATTCCATGTATACATATGTGTATATGTAAATTATAGATATATAAAATTGTGTGATAGTAGTTGCTCAATAAATCATCCATGACTGAGGAAGCAGATAACTAATAACTGTCTTGACAGATCTCAGGTCACACCACATATAGATTATATCCTTTGTAGTTCCATTATATAAATACTTCATACTTCATATTTGAAATGTATATTACTCACAAAAAGTCACCTACAAATCTAGTTCAGTTTATTCTTATTTTAAATCTTATCAGTGTAGCTGACCACATAACTGTGTCTCAGATCTGTTTCCTAGCTGACCTCCTTATTCATAAAGCTAACTAAATAAACTATTTTTTTACACTGTGGTAGTCCTGCACTATTTCTATTGTGATGATCCTGAATGAAGTATTTCTTGCTGTGCTTTAACAAATGTCACTAATTTTCTTCTTTAACACTTATGTGTTTTGATTGGTTATAGCAACATATTTATGAACTTTATACACTTCATATTAATATTTTAAAATATCAAATGAGATATGTAGACAAAATGTGTGTTATTTTAAAGTTGGGGGTTAGACTGGGCTGGGGAGGTCCACAGTCAGGGCTCAGAGCCAGAAAGAAAAAGTTTCTAGCAGGAATGTTTATTGAGGAACAAAAAAATACATACTCTAAATAGGGCTAACTTTTATAAATAAGGATAATACACTTGGGAGAGATCCAAGTGGGCAGACGCAGAGGTGCCACTGTCAGGAATGTAAATATACCCTCACAAAGGGAAAACAGGTGTCCAGAGATGGCAAACAATACAAGGTTGAGAGGTAAGTTTTCTTTCATTTTCCTAGAATTTGGGGAGTGGTAGTGAGTAGTAATTAGTGAGATGATTTCAAATCAACTAAGAGTCTCCAACTTCATGTGGGGAGGGGAGGTTTTGCATTTATAGCATAGGGCACCCCTTTGCCTAGCAACCATTGCTCAGATTGTCTTTGAGCTTGGTGTTCTCTGGGCTGTAGGAGCTCGTTCACGTGGTTCACCCCAGTTGCTTTCTTTGCCAAACTGCCCCAGGGCCTGTGATCAATCTCCAATTTCAGTCTCTTCCTACAAACATTATCGTCATGAGCTTTCACTATGCCCCAAAATGTGTCATTTAGACCCCCAGAGCAATAGCAGTAGGATGCTCACTTTATAAATGAGACATTCAAATTGTGAGAGTAGAGGGATTTGCCTGAAGCCCTGACAAAGTACATGCAAGAGCCAATTTTCAAAACCAAATTTGCTGTCTATTCTACCAAGCTTTTGGAAGGAACACGCAAAGAAAAAATAAATAATAGGTACCAAATCGAAAAAAAACGTAGAGGATTAAAAACATTAAAAAAGAAATGGGAAAACCTTGCAGTAGAAACTGCAGGCCCAGAACGTTAATTCATTCACCGAAGGAAGGGCGAGGAGGGGAAGAGAGGACTCCTGGGGAGGCCTTTAGATACAATCTCCCTAGGCGGCCCAGGTGGGTCACAGAGTAAACAAAACTTCCGACAGCCTAGAAAGGCTCCAGGGCGGCCAGGGGGCGGGGCGAGCCACCGCTTCCGGTTCCGGGCGCAAAGGCCCCACGTGTTCTGACCCGTTAGGCCCCGCGCGGCTGGGATCGGACGCCGCGGTTTCGGGCCCGAGAGGGTGGGGAAGAGAGTGGGGAGGGGCCGCCGGAGCTGCCTCAGCGGTGAGTGCCGGGGGGCCGGGCCGGGCCGGTGCGCACCGCGCGGGGTAGGGCGAGGAGGGGGAGGGACCGGAGACCCCGCCCCCGAGCCTGGGGACTCGCGCGGTCCGGAGGAGAGGGCGGCGGCGGCGTGCTGACGGGCTCCGGCGCGGTGCCCTCCGCGTCTCCTGGCGGCCGGAACCAGAACCTCCGGAGACGCGGGTGGCGCTCCCGGCTTCCTTGTCCTGCTAGCCGCCACCCTCCGCCTCCTCCTGGGGCCTGCAGAAAGGAGGTCCGTCCCTCCTATTGCTTCCCCGGAACCCGGGGAAGAAGAGTGGTCCCCCTTGGCTGTCCGTAGCCTTTTCTTAGCCCGTCTGTCAATTGCTCTCGAATCTTCCCAGCAGGCACCCTGCCCCGGAGAGCCCCAAGTCCTTCCACAACCAGCCTCTCCTCCAGCGCCTGCAGGCAGCCTCACCCGCGATCTTATCACCTGTGATCATATCACCTGTGATCGCGCTAGGTTTGGGAGCCCTGCTGGTCTGTGGCTTTTCAGCTGCCTCTGACAGATCCCGAGCTTCCTTCCCCTTCAACCAGTGACTGCTGTCTTCACTCGCAGCATTCCTCCCCCTCTACTAACAGCCAGGGTAGGGGCCTCTTCTCAACGTCCCCCTTTCCACAGCAGGAGTAGACCGCCTGCGCCTTGTCTGCACAACGAAAAGTTTATTCATTTCTGTGCCATCAGAAAACACAATACACCCATAGCATAGTGTGGCTTTTCCTCCTGAGCAATGGGTGCTCTTTATCTCAGACCCTTTAATGACCTGGCTTCGGTGGTCTTCGTGCTGGAAACCCTTAAGGGAAGCTCTTAGGCCAAACTTTCTTGAATCACTTTGGTCCTGCGGGTTGTGCCGTATCCTGGGTCTTGTTGAGAGACTGGGCTTAGAACCGTGGTCTTTTCTGTCCCTGCACTGCAGGTTACACCCAGGGCAGCTACACTCAGAATTTGTGAGGAATGTAGTGGAGAACTTCATCTCTCCTTCCTCCTCCCGGCTTCTCTTTCACACTGCCCATGGGCCTTGATCCAGAAGGCACCTTTAGGGAGGTGGTAGGACCGCTACAGCGGGCTTGTTGGTGAGAAGTGTGTGACAGCAGAGCAGTTAGAGTTCGTGGCCATTTGTTGGGTAATTTTCTGCTAATTCTGTCTATCATAAGAGAGTGTGCAGAGTTGGAGGGAGGATGGGAATTTTTCCTCCTAGGACTAGAAACCTGTGATTTCTAATCTTTCCTCATTTTCCTCCAGCTGTACCCCCTTTGTCTCTGTCAACTGTATCACAGTACACAGTTCAGGAGCACAACAAGGTTTCCTGCAATGTGAGGGACTCTTGGGCATTACATTTATAGATGAGGTAAGTTACATGTTTGCAACATTTGTCTCCACTTCATTTCATATAGGCATGAAATAGTTCTAGACTTCCCTGTTTTGACTTCCTGTCCTGTCATCAGCAAACCTTTTCTTTAATGTGGCTAGGAAAGGTGGTTCCTTTCTGAATAAACCTCCAGTTTACTTCCTTTGCCGCAGGTAGTAGTTCTCAGGCTTACTATCTTTTTTTTTAAGCTTACGATCTTGAAGTGCCTGTAAGGCTTGTTAAACAGAGGTTGCTGGGGCCCGCCCCCTAGAGTTTAGGGTAGTAGGTCTGCTCTTGGAGAGTTTACATTTCTAACAGGATCTCATGTAGTACAGGTGCTGGTCTGAACACATCACTTTTGAGAATCACTGCTTTTGGCCACATTGCACATTGCAGAGTTTGGGGATCAGAAGACCTTGTGAGTAATTCTGTCCTGGAAACTAGTAATCTATTCTTTTATAGGTAGTCACACCACTGAGGTCTGAATTCTTTTGTAAAAGTGTGCTTTTTAAAAAAGTAGTTCTGAATGTTTCATCTCTTTAGGCCCAATTTAAGAGGAGGAACTGATGAATTTCCCCTTTGGTTTTGTTAATTCTCTTGATAGGTTTCTTACTTTGAACATATAAATTATACCCATTTTGGAGGTTTTTGCTGTGAATTCCCAAATTTTTTCAGACTTTAAAAATAAATTTCTTACCGAGCTTTTTTAATCTTTATATCTGCCCAGCACCTGAAATAGTGGGGCACACAGAGTGGAGGCTTAGTAGATGTTTGTGGATTGGATGAACCCCCATCTCCTGCCCTCCAACCCTGTAAAGAGTTTGTCTTTACTGGTGTTCTGCAACCCAGTAACACAGGGTAAGATTTATTAAGATGCCACCTGAATCTCCCAAGAAACTGAAAGAAAGGCTAATGACAAATTCTTCCAGCTATTCCTGAGAAAGCTTTATTTCCCAGAATCCCTGGAATCCATCATTTTCTGAATCTTAGTGCTTCTGTATCCAAGTTAGGGGAAGAGAAATAAAGAAGTCTTACTTAAATTCAGTACAGGTTTATCGAACTGCTCTTGCGCAAACTACACAACAAAGTAGCAGACACAGGGAATATATCCTTGCCTGGACATGGCTCACAGAGGTCAGACAGACACTATACTGTGTCTACACCAAGTATGACTTCCAGGATTATTTCTTTTTTGTCTGTGACTTCGTCTGCAGTGGAAATCCTGCATCTTAGATTCCTGTGGTTCAACAAGTGGGGTGTCATCCTTCCTCATGTATTCTGTGCAAGGGAGCCTCAAACAAAGCAGAAAAAATCCACCCAAACCAAGTGATGGGGTAGCCTGACAGGTAATGTTAATTGCAAAGCCAAAAACAGTGACTGTTTATCATTTAAGTCTCCCTTTCTCAACAAGATTTCAAAGAGTTGGAAAGGAAAAGAAAATATATTGAGCAGCTACCTTGCCAGATTCTATACTGAGGGCTTTGTGTCTGCAGTTCCTTAGTATCCATGTGCTACAGCAGTGTTAGCCATGTTTCAAGGATGACAGGCTTAGGAGAGTATGTCACATGGGTAATAAACAAGCATTCGCATTCATAGCCAGTGGTCTGGAGCTCCTGACTGCTACATAGCAGCATAGATGAACAACTGTATATATAGTACAAAAATCAACAGCTTTGGAAAAGAGCAGTTGACAGTTCTATTCCAGAACAGCGGGAGGAGCTATTGAAAGGTCCTAGTTGGCCCCAGCGAGCAACATGTTCAAATTTCTGTATTAGGAGTCTTTAGGAAGGATATCAATGTCTTCTAGAAGTAATAATTTGAATCTAGTCATGGTTTTCTTCTAAGAAAACCTTATCATTTAGTAACCAAAAAGACCTCAGTCTGGTGCAACATGAAAACAGTGAGGGGTTCCAGTCTAGTTCGTGGGTATTGGTTCTTGGACTTTTAAGACCATAGTGCCTTGCACGCCTGCCTTGCAGTGACAGAACGTAGGTAGAAAGGGAAGGTGCTGAGCAGTTTTGTGTAACGAATCATGACTATAGTTGCATCATATTATTTAATGTCTGCTTTTATGTTTATAAAAGTTGATTCAGTGCCCAGAGGAAAACAATTTCTTTTTCAAATGCCCAATTTTATGTGACTTGCATTTGGATTATCTCCAGGGAAACTTGAATATTTTTTGTGGTTCCATTTCTTTTGAAACCACTAAGAGTATTGTGTTTTACTCAAAATGCAAGCAATATGTTTTTCTTCATTTGCCCACCGTACCATTTGCTGGCCAAGTGAATATACAAAGGTTAATACGACATGGTATCTGTGCTTCCAAAGACAGACTTTTAAAACCTCAGTCAGTGTTCTCTGCATTCATCACATATGAAGTGAGTGTCTGTCGTGTGCCAGGCATGCGGCGGGGACAGTGTGTCCCACCCTTGGAGCTTTATAGTCCACTAGATACTGTAACCAGAGGAGTTTGGGGGGAATTTTTTTTGTTTGTTTTGTTTTGCTTTTTGAGACACAGTCTCACTATGCAGTTCAGGCTGGCCTTGAGCTCACTTTGTAACCCAGGCTGGTCTTGAACTCGCAATGATCCTCCTGCCTCTGCCTTCCAAGTGCTGAGATTACAGGTGTGCATCACCACACTCAGAGGAGCAGTTTTTTGTAACACAATTCCTGCTGTGATACAAGGAGGCTCAATTCCCTTGGCGGTATAGTCCTAGGGTTTCAGGGAAGGCACCTGGAAGGGTGATGTCAGAAAAATGAATAGAGTTAAGCAAATGAAGGAGATTGAAAAAGGTGTTTCAGATGGCATGAACCTCATCAGAGAAGCCCACTGTGGGCATGAGAAGGAGACCTGAAGCAGTTCACTCAGTCGTGGCTGAGTGAGGGAATGGCAGTCGAAGGAGGAAGAGGTGGGTAGGGACCGGGTCTTGGAGGGCCTTGAATGTCATGTTTTAAAGGGTTTAATTGTTATACAAAGGATATTGCAAAGCTGTTGTCAGATTTTATATGTGAGATCGTTCCCCATTGACATCTTTTTGCAGTAGTGCAAGGAGAGGTAACACAGAGGAGTTTCCTGCCCATTTGAATGCTTGCACCACCCACCTGTGCCACTTCTTCCTGTCTGTCTCCCAGAAACTAAACAGGAACTGTGCAGGTTTCAGAAGTAGAAATAAAGGCTAGAGAATTAATTTCAAGTTCACTGAAGTATACTTCAACCAAAATATGCTTTGTAGGGTTTGAGGTTCTAATACTTTAGGCCACATGTGGACTGTTGTCTGGGGGTAGAGACAGGGTCACTGAACCATTTTCCAAGTCATTTCATGAGCTTAGAGATGCCTGTTAGTGTGGCACTGCTGATAATGCATTGAGGATGTGGTCACTTTTTAAAGACCCTGGTAATGTCTTCCGGTGGGTTGTAGTGGCTCATTCAGGGGATGGCACCAGAGGTAAAGACAGGGATGGATTTGAAAGACATTTTAGAAGGTAGAACAAGGTTCTGCCTTAACAGAAATTACAGGAATTGTGAAGGAAAATATTGCTTCTTGTTAAAGTGGGAAGAAAGCTTCAGACTGAAAGTTATATTCATTTTAAATGCATTTATTGTACACTTTATTGTAGCTGTTGGAGAAAAATGAAAAACACTGTCCCTGACTTCAAGGACTTTCACAGGAAAAATTATTATAAGCCACATGCTATGATAGAGATGCAGCCAGGATGCTCAAGCACTTAGGTGATTTCTGACATATCTTCCAACACTGGCGGAATGAAATTATAGAAAACACCTAAAAGGGATGAACCCTAAGCCCTGTCTTCAGAAGTAAGACAAGCTTAACCTAATCAAAGATGCAGAGAAGGGCAGCATGTTTAAAGTTCAAGTGTCAGGTTTCAATGTCACCTTGTTTCTCTAGTGAGAGAAACCCAAAAGGTGAATGAGGAGTGTGGCCAAGGTGGATCTGGGGAACAAATAGAGTGTATTCACCTGGGAAGGGGAACAAGGGAGGGAGAAGAGAGAAGGGAAGGAAAGGACAGGATAGGAAAAAAATGGGAGCAGAGCTTCTGTAAATGGGGAGTGGAAGAAGGGTTGAAGGGAGGAGAGGAGAATAGGAGAAAAAGAAAGATAAAAATCAGGGCCAATGATCGGGGGAAGAGTAGGACCTTTGCAAACTCTGTGTGTGTGTGTGTGTGTGTGTGTTTCTAAAAGGGTTACAGAGGAGAGCAAACGGAGCAAGGTGGGAGTCACTTAACAGTCCACACTTAGAAGTTTGTTCACCTGTCAGAACTGATTGAAAAGTCTTAAGAGACAACCAGCCCTGCCAGATGATAAAGCAACTGAGCCCCACGCCAAGAAACCAGAACACACACTGGAAGCAGAAGTGGCACTTTACCCAGCGGACCAGGGCAAGGAGCGCAGGGCAGTGCTGAACTGGGTTTTTATCACAGTTAAATGGGATAGGTATTGTTTTGGTCATGGGCTGAGAGCTGTGGGTAGCTCTTGTACTTTTTGTGTAACGTGTCTTGCTCTGGAGGAGGCTGGCAGAGGGTCTCTGTTACAGGAGGTATTTCCTTGTTCTTGCATTTAGGCTCTTACAACATGTCAATGGACCTTTTGTCCCTATGTTTGGGCTTTTACAATGCAGGGGTCGCTGGTCACTGTTGGCCAGATCTGTCACCAAGAGACCTCCCTCTGGTGACACTATGACTAGTAACTGGAAGGTTGACTCTGGAGGCAGGCAGCTCACATTTGGTGGCAGTTGTAGTAGTTCTGATGAGAACTAAAGAATGGAAAAGAAGAACCTGTTAAAAAGGAATGCCTGGCAGTCCTGGCAGCTCTGAAGAGCAGGGGAGCAGCCTTTACCAGGTTCCTGGAGACCGCAAGAGCTCTCACAGGGAGGTCAGCAGAGCCTTCACTGTGTGGTGCAGGCAGGAAGCCAAGAGAAAAGGGAAGGGTATGAGGCTTGGAAAGTAGGTTAGGGTTCAGTATGAAGCAGCTCATGTGCATGACCAGGATTTGGGATTTACCTTAATAAATAGCAAGTTACCATTTTCAACTATTGCATAAGTATTTGGAACTGTAGTTGTGTGTGTTTGTTTTTGTTTTTCTTTTTGTTTTTTGATACCAGAGATCGAACTTGTTACTTTGCGCTTGCCAGGCAGACACTTATGCGACTGAGCTATATCCCTGACCCTTGGAACTGTAATTTAAACAGTGGTTGACACTAGGATGCCACCTGTTTTCTAAGCACTTCAAATGTACTAATGCAGTTAATCCTCATAGCAGCTCTTGGATGGGCATCCTTATAATCTCCATTGTGTAGACAGAGAAACCAATATATAAACAAGAGAAAAAGGCCATACTAGTAAACAATAGAGCCCAGATTTAACTCACTCAGTCTGAATGAGGACTACCACTCTTAGCACCTCATTCAGTTTTTCTCAGCCAGGGGTCATTTGAGTACAGCAGGTAGCATTTCTAAAGATCCAGGTGTCTAGACTGACGGTATCAGAATGTGCTTGCATCATGCATGAGAAAAGCTCCAGGGTAGTTACTTGCACTTGCTCACAGTTGAGTACTGCCCGGGAGCCCAGTTAGGAGGTCCTGCCAGTGTGCAGGCAAGGTACGCTGATTGCCAGAACCTCAGAAGTCAGCCCTTTGGAAGACTGTGCAGGAGACAGATGTAGCTATTAAGGGGTAGAATTGCTTTAATGAGCTGTAAGCAAAGGCAAAGAATCAAAACTGACTCCAAAGACTACACAATTGAGGGCTACTTAGCAAGTGTGAGCTCAGGCAAGGAAGGAAGAAGGGTGGGCGCGGGAGTGAGGATGATGAGTTTTGAACACTTCAGTTTGAAAACCCATAGATTGTCCAGTTGGAGTTGCCATAACAAGATAAAGTTTACCTTTTGTGGTGCTTGTGTCTGGGTGTTAGTGCTGCAGCTAAAGCAGTCAGCAGGAGGGAAGTTGAGGAAACCAGTTTAGAGACAGGATGGAAGCGGTAGCATGCATACAGTAGGAATTCAGTGTCTTCATATCAGATATTAACCTTGCCTAGCAAAGAGAGTCTAGGGCCATACTTTAAAGCATGAATTAGCCTATCCCAGTGACTTTCATTGTAAAAAAGTTACAGAGACTGGGGAAACGGCCTTCACTCATTTGAAGAAGTGTGTAGAAGATTTTGATTAAGTCAGGATTGTTATCGCTGTGCATAATTTTAGGCTCATGCTATCGTTTTACTTCTCTACTTTAGGTCCCTTGGGAGAAAGTCCTTGAGGTGCCCAGGTTGAGACAAGAAGGGGTGGCAGTGTGAGAGATGGATGGTGTGAAGCTACCCCAAAACCAGGAAATGGCTACAGCCTTGGAACCAGAGGACCAGGATCTTTGGGAAGAAGAAGGAATTCTGATGGTGAAACTGGAAGATGAGTTCACCTGTAGGCCGGAGTCTGTCTTACAGAGGGATGACCCTGTGCTGGAGACGTCTCACCAGAACTTTCGATGTTTTCGCTACCAGGAGGCAGCAAGCCCGCGAGAAGCCCTCATCAGACTCCGAGAGCTTTGTCATCAGTGGCTAAGGCCAGAAAGGCGGACAAAGGAGCAGATCCTAGAACTGCTGGTGCTGGAGCAGTTCCTCACCGTCCTGCCTGGAGAGCTACAGAGCTGGGTGCGGGGCCAACGGCCAGAGAGCGGCGAGGAGGCAGTGACACTGGTGGAGGGTTTGCAGAAACAGCCCAGGAGACCAAGGCGGTGGGTGAGGAGGGGGAGTCCTGATCTGTGTGATGTGGAGGGGGATCGTCTACCGGGTAGCCGAATTAGTGGGGAAGACTTACAGGGCCCCCTAAAGTATCCATTAATCAGCCTTGCCCTTGGGGTGCTCCTAGGATCCATAAGCACAATAGGGCAGGGTGTGTGTGTCTGTGTGTGTGTGGCTTTCTGGGTCATGGCTTTGGTTTTCTTTCTTTGGGTATTGAACCTCAGCTTCCTGGGGAAGAGAATTTTATGACTTCCTCTGAAGTCTCCTAGACTCTTAATCTTAGACCCTCTTCCAAAGTGGTAAGCAGGGGAGGCAGATGACAAAAGAGCTTTAGGCAGGCTGGGTGGAGGTGGGAAGGATAGGGACCTCAGAACCCTGGGTAATAAGAGAAAGGGTTGAGACAAGTGAGAAATCAGTATAGTATCTGGGTGCCCCCTGCCTTGTCCTGGCGAGAGTTTTCAGCTCTTTGCATGCCCTGGTGGAACTAAAGCCTCTGCTCATCTGGGTCCATCTGGGAGTTTTTCCATAGGTGGATTCTAAAGTAAGCTCTGATCATAACCTGGAATTCCTTCCTGACTCCATGGTGACTGGAAGTTGGAATTCTTCCCAGGTGACCGTCCATGTTCATGGCCAGGAAGTCCTGTCAGAGGAGACAGTGCACCTAGGGGCAGAGCCTGAGTCACCCAGTGAGCTGCAGGACCCAACACAGACTTCAACCCTTGAGCAGTCACATGAGGAAACCAACCAGAGCCCAGATCAGGGGACACCAGAACAGCAGAGCCCGCACTGTGAAGAGGAGTTCCAGCCCCTGCAGGAGCACGGTGGGGAGCCTAAGCAGGAAGAGGGGACCGTAGCAAAGTACAGGGCGGGCATCTACACACTCTACCGGAGAGAAATCACAGAACCCCAGAAGCTGAGAAGAGACAGTCCAGCTAGAATGCCACCAGGATGGGGCCAAGCTTGCACAGCGATGCTCCGGGTTACTCTTGGCATTCTGGTCAGCATCTGGATAGGGGCATTGTGATGACCTGGTCCCTTGGACCAGTTTCCTATTTCCTGTAAGGGAGTTAGAACCACCTTCCTACTAAAGGTGATGGGCAGTGCTCAGGTCTTTGCCGTTTTTTGTGGTGCACTGCATGTGGCTGATTTCTTGCCTTCTTTTCTCCTTAGAGGTTCCAGTGCTCCAAGAGCCAGACCTTCCTGCAGAGAGGAGCTCTGGAGACTCAGAGATGGTTGCCCTTCTGACTGCTCTGTCCCAGGTGTGCCCCAGTTTCCTGTGGTATGTCAGAGTTGGAAGAACTGTTGGGGTGCAGCCAGGTGCTGAATCGATCAGATGGGATGCAGGGTTACCACCCTTCTCCAGCACTTTAAGTTCTGTGTTCTGCAGGCCCATGTAAAGGTAGAGAAAATGATGAGATAAATTATAACGGTCTCCACCAGGTCTGCAGACTCCACAGCCTCTTTGTCACTGACCAGAAGAGCTAACAAAAATGGAATTATTCCCATACCATTCCAGTACAGCTTTGAAGTTGTTAAATGAAGGGGTTTTGCTTTTAGGAGTAAATTTGCTAGTCATTTGTAAAAATGACTGATTTCACTGCCATAACATTTATACAGCCTTCATCATGTTCAGAGCCCTAAAGCTAAACTATGTGGCAGAAGGTGGAAAGAGGATTCATCCATGGTTTTACATTGTCATCTAGCTGAGGAAAATGTCTTACGCTACGGAATCCAAGTGAAAGGATGATTAGATAGGGTTAATTAGGAATAGCTTGTAGGAAAAGATCAATTTTTGCAGAGAAGAATGTACCATTAAAACATCAAATAGTTGAATGATGAACTTTCCTGAGTTTTAAATAATACTCTTTTAATGAAGAAAAAAAAATACAGGCCTGCCCTCAGGGAAACCAGGGTGCTGGAGGGGCAGAACAAGGGCCAGTGCTTTCCCAGAGACAGAAAGTCGGGAAGTGAGACACGTGGGGCACGGCCTCCTGAGAGGAAGCCTCGTAGCCTGTTAGGGTTCCTTTTGTCTCCTGGATGGATTCTGCTTGTACATAAGGGTTCATCCCGGAACAAACTGTGAGTCTACCAGAAGCATCGCATTCTGATTAATCCTTGTGTTGATTCAGGGACTGGTAACGTTCAAAGATGTGGCCGTGTGCTTCTCCCAGGATCAGTGGAGTGACCTGGATCCGACACAGAAGGAATTCTATGGAGAATATGTCTTGGAAGAAGATTGTGGAATTGTGGTCTCTCTGTGTAAGGAATTTCATGTGTTTCTAGAGCATTTTAAGCACAGAGATCTTTTTATTTTTGAAATTTGGGGATGATCTTTTACCTGAGACTACTGTATGCACTTGAATGTCTTTTATGTGTACCCCACCAGTGATTTAAAGGCTAATTAGGTGAAGCAGATGGTGTCCTTCCAAGTTGGGGGACATTAAATGCATACAAACATGGATGGAAACATCTAATAAAAAAAACCTATAGTTATAGCCTTAGTATAAAAGTATATGAGGTAAGCGTATAAGTTTTCAAATAAACAAGAGTAGAAGATAATGTGCTTTCCTAGAAAAGGGCCAAGAAACAGTAGTTTGTTAGAAGAAACCAAAATGTTGACCAAGTGTGTTTGGTCTATAACCAACCAACCGGAAAAGATTGGTGGTTAGGGAAGTGTTGAACCAGTCATGATGTCCTGTTCTCCCTTTCTTGAGCAGCCTTTCCAATCCCCAGACTAGATGATATCTCCCAGGTTATTGAAGAAGAGCCTCTGGTCCCAGATACCCATGAGCCTGAAGAGCCAGAAATCCTGAGTTTTACCTACACAGGTGAGAAGTGACAAAACGGGGCTTACCACACCGCGCAGGCAGTTCCTTCAGTCAGTGCTAGAGAAGCACTTCCTTTTGGGGCCCCTCATTGGTTTTTCCAGCATGTCAGCCATTGCTGTCCTCTCCCCCTGAAAGCCAGACTTCTGTCCTTTCGTCTTCACCATCTCACCCTTTATTTGAGGACTGGGAAATGCAAAGAAATAAGAAACACTGTAAACTTCTAAGCTCTACCATTTCCTACACAACTTTTAAACCCTTGATCCTCAGTCTCTGCATGTGTAAACTGAGGGTGATGATGTTGAGCCCTGCTAAGTTTTATTGCTGTCATAACGTACAAGAATACGCCTGGGTCATGATGGACATTCTATTGATCATTTCCTTCTTTCTCCACTTTACATTTAGGAAATTCATGCTTCTCTCAATATTCTCTTACCCAAAACCCTTTTTAAAGTGCCCTTGCTGTGTAGAAAGCTTTGTTGCCTTTTTAATTCTTTTTTCCTTTCACCCGTTCTGCAGGAGACAGGAGTGAAGACGAGGAGCAGTGTGTTGAGCGAGATCTCAGTTTGGAGGACACACATAGGTCTATTTTGGGGGATCCAGAAATTCACCGGACTCCAGACTGGGAAATTATTCTTGAGGATAACCCAGATAAAGCTAATGAAAAAAGATTTGGTACAAATATTTCTCAAGTTAATAGTCTTATGAATCTTCAGAAAACTACACCTGCACACCCTCTGCTAGGGAGGCAACATGTCTGTCCTGTCTGTGGGAAAAGCTTCACATGTAACTCTCACCTTATTAGACATCTGAGAACTCACACAGGAGAGAAGCCCTATAAATGTCTGGAGTGTGGAAAAAGCTACACACGGAGCTCACATCTTGCCAGACACCAAAAGGTTCACAAGATAAACAAATATCCACTAAATTGGAAGAATGTGGACAAGACTTCCCCACTGATCCAAGCTGCGAGAATAACATCTGTGGAGAAACCCTATAGATGTGACAATTGTGGAAAACATTTCCGCTGGGCTTCAGACCTTGTCAGACATCAAAGGACACATACAGGGGAAAAGCCTTTTTACTGTACTGTTTGTGGCAAAAGCTTTAGCCAGAAATCTGTGTTAACCACACACCAAAGAATCCACCTTGGAAGCAAACCCTACTTGTGTGGAGAGTGTGGAAAGGACTTCAGTGACCACAGGGAGTATCTTGCACATAGAAAGACACATGCAGCCGAGGAGCTCTACCTCTGCAATGAATGTGGGCGCTGCTTCAATGACAGCACAGAGTTTGCCAAGCATGTGAAAGGACATGCCTCAGTTAGGCAGTGCCGGTGCACAGAGTGTGGGAAAAGCTTCAGTCGGAGGGATCATCTAGTCAGGCATCAGCGTACACACACCGGAGAGAAACCATTCACCTGCCCTACCTGTGGGAAAAGCTTTAGCAGAGGATATCACTTAATCAGGCATCAGAGGACCCACTCAAGAAAGAACTCCTAGCGAGGTACCCATGTGAGAAGATCCATATTCAGCTGCCACCCAGGGTGGGACAGGAGAAGCTCTCAAGGCAGCCTGGGATGACCTTTTCCAAGGTGCCTCCTGGACCAGCCATACCTTATACCACCTCTTCCCACCACCAAATAAAAGCTTCAAACAGAACCTCTGTACCATGAGCTGATGTTTTACCCAAAGTGCAACCTGAATTGAGGCTTCTCCTTCACGGAAGTGTTCCTGCCTCTACCTCATGGGTGTTAAAATAGGAGAATTAGAAAACTGAAGAGGTTGTGGTTGCTGTTTTCCAAATAGGCTGTTATATATCCTCAAAGCTACTTACAGCCTCACTTTTAAAGTGGACAAGGACAGCCCCGTAGGTCTGTTAAGGGACTGGTCTGAAAGGTTCTGTCCTTCCTGGGCCCAGATCTTAAAGCACACCCCTGTGAACTTGAAACAAGAGGTTTGCATCCTGATGACTTTGCCGCATGCAGGATAGCATATAAATCCTTCACTGTCTGACTCACTTCTTCACCATGCACTTTCTTTTGATGCTAGGGAGAGATGGGAGAAAGTTCAAGGGCAAAACTCATAGCTGCTTTATATGTACCTTGGCAAGCTGCTCCCTTCTCCACTGTCAAAATGATACCAGATGCCAACCACTGCCAGAATGAAAGGCCTGGTCAGTAGTCTGATTCCTCGTGGGTGTGTGTTTGTTTTTCCTGTTGTTAGCCTTCTTACAATTCAACAGTCTTGTTCTGTTCAATGAGTCCCTACTGCTATCACTACAAGTGAGATGTAGCACTTGAGGGATTCCGTGAAGCATAACTAAGTGATGAAATCATCTACTTTCTCAAATGTGTACATGCTCACCTCCCCTCCCCCTCTTCACATGGGTTGTGTGAATGGATTTGGAACAGGGTCACCATATAAAGGCTCTTTAACCTTTACAGAATTGTGATTGGGTCACTTTATTCACATGAAGAAAAGGAAAGAGATTCTAAGATTACACTAGAGAAAGACAGGGAAAAGCTGTTGCTGCTGGCCAAGACCATCAGGACTGTTCAATACTCCCCATCACCCCTGCCTCTTTTCCCTGATGACAGGAAATCATGAACCCCATCACCTGCGGCACAGTGGAGTCACAGGAGTATATGGCTCTCGTGTATATGTATTTTTTACCTTTTCTTACATGATTTCATTAGTGTGTGACAATGAACTAAGTATCTCCTCATGACCCAGAGGTCTTTCTTGCCTTTTCAATGTTCCATGGAGAGGAGACTATAACTGTAAGCATCACCTGTTCTGATTGTGGGAATGGTGAAGACTGGAGAGGTGTCCTCCATAAATGGAGCACAGGGTATGGGAATAAAGCATGAGAAGGAAGACAGTCTGTGCCTGATTTGTTCTGCTTCTTTCACGATTCACTGTGTGCTGGTGTAGTAGGAATGTAGTGTAGAGGAATGTAGTGCATGAACAAGACCCCAGCCCCGACAGCCCAGCAAGGAGGCTCGCTCTTTGGCCTGTAATGATAGTCTGATGGACTGGTTTAGTTTCAATGCTATCAGCCATCATCCTAAGTAATAGTAGCAGGAAAGTTCTTTGCTTTCTGGCATCTTCCATTTTATCCACCGCTTTCCAAGATGTCAATGCTTCTAAAGGGCCACCTTATGAATAGATCTAGGGGTGCAGAGTAGTTTTTCTTGAGGATAATGAAGGCTTGGCATGGTTAGTGTAGCCATGTATGCATGCCAAGATGAGACCCAAGTGTGGAGTTTGCAGAGGAGGCTGGCAGTCATTTCACAGTTTGTGCTGAGAGCAGTGTTGCATCACCAAAAGTTTGTTTTTCTCACCTCATAGTAACTATCTATAGAAATTGATGGGATGCTGGAGTGGACTGTTTGCTCTTTAAACCATGTGATTACAATAAGTGGGGTTTTTTTTGTTTTTTTCTTTTTGTACCCAGGATCAAACTCAAGACCTCACACTTGCTAGGCAGGCATTTGTGCTGCTGAGCTAAATCCTTGGCCCCAGTAAGTGAAAATCTTATAAGAATTCCACATAAGGGAAAGTTTGAGACTGGTCAAATTTTTTGGAACATTAAGTATTACTGAACTTCTATGGATGATCCCTGCAGATTTCAGATGCTGATACTAAAGCTCTGGTTCCTTTTGTAAATCGGTATTCTGAGGTTCCTGGAAAGATGTGCTGGCTCCAAATCTAAATATGACAGTTCACAGCAGCAGGAAATGCAGAAACAGGGAAGCAGTGCAGCGACCACAAGGAGCTGAGGCCACAGCCTGTGGACAGTGGAATCGGTGCATTTGAGTACCTGCTAAATAAATGTCTCTGAGGAAGAGAAAGGCAGGGCTTTAAAGTTTATATTTGGAAGGAATTCTAATTGACAGAATGTTCAGGTTGTTGGACTCATCACGGAGTACCCTGCTTCTAAAAGTGACTCACCAGTGAAACATTACTGGGTTCCAGGTTGTTCACCTGTCCTGGAGTTAGATTCCAGATTCTTAGCTTGAGCAAAGAATTAGACAAGGCAAGCCAAAAATGGTGCCAAAACCTTTTTTGTTTTTTTTTTTTTTTTGGGGGGGGGAGTTGAAAAGTGAGGGGTGAATGGCGTAGAAGAGAAACCGGCTCTGCCAAGCAAACTTGGGCAGAACAAGATAAAAGGATAAAAGTTAAGGTACACACTGTCTGGGAAACTGGGCAATCGTAAGAAGGCACAAGAATAAGGTCTTTTTGGCATTTCTGTCCTCTGCACTGTCCAAATCTTTTTTTTTTTTTTAATTTAAAGAAAAAAAAAGCAGTAAAAGGGCACAAGTAATACAGAATTTAAAAAAAGTAAATCACTAGTTAATAGATTACATATTGTCATCTTAGAAATAGTTGATCAAGTTACAAAATTAAGCCTACGTAATTGACATTCAAACAGACTGCAAACAGTTGTGTTCAATGATCCAACAAAAACTTAGTATATGGGCATCTATCTTACACACCTAAACACACATGCAGTTGTGTCCTTTAGAGCACTTTTTTCCTCTTTTTTACAAAAACATTTACACATTTTGGGTTTTATTACTCCTACAGTTCTTATTACTTTTTTTTGGAAGAGAATAAAACCAATGTGACAAAACAAAGCAGTCAGTCAAAACAAAGGATGGACATAATACATGATGTAAAAACAGAATACAAGGTAATCAACAATGGTTACCATAATGCCCCTTGCTACCTTAAGAAGAATTGCCTATATCATCAGGTATAATAAAATTGAACTAAACAGTATAGAACAAAACCAATAAAACCTAAACATTGGAGACATTACAGGACTTCAAAAGAAGATAATAAACCAGAATGGGCATCATAGTGAATCTTATTGCCTTCAAAGTAGTTGCCTATACCCTCAAACTTGATACTATCAAACAAAACAGAATAGAGTAAAATCAGTCAAAACAAGATGGTGAGAGCAATACAGGGCTTCACATCAAGTTAATAGGAAATCAAAAAAATTAATATATCCTGCTAATTTTTAAAAAAAATTTCCCTTAAATAATAAAAAAATAAATTGAAAAAAAGGCGGGGGGGGGGGAACTGAGATAAAAGAGGACATAACAAATCTTGAGGACACCTGTGAGAATGTCTGCTTCTGTCCTGAGAAGTGCTGCTGTCCCAGGTCTCAGCTCTAGGCCATCCTGTTGAAAGCCTGCTTCAGTGCTAGTGAAAAGTCCACATGCAGGGCTTTGAGAACTGTTCTGCCCATGTGCTCCAGGACCTTGTAATGAGCAGGTCACATCTTCCCTAGCCAGCTTTGCCATACACTAATTTCCTATCTTAGAATTGATGAAATAATGTACAATAAAGAATCAATTTTAAAATAATCTTTAACCAGGTTCTTGTTTGCCCAGGTAATTTATGAATAGCCACAAGTCATTCAACCTTTACACCACACCAAGAGAAATGCCAAGAGGTCAAAGCAAAATACATCTTTTGTTATTTCATACTCCATAGTAGAATCTGATGAGTTCAGGTGAGCTACATAGAGAATTTTACAAATTGCATTGTCATAAAAATATTAGCACTAAAATGCTAAAATGTTTTTGCCTCTACAAAAGCCAAACTCATGATGAATCTAATAGAAAACAAATTATTTCCACTGAGCAGCAAAGTGGGTCATCATAATTTGTGTTGTAGACACTTTTTTTATTTCATAGATTAGAAAGCCAAAGCCAAAGGAGAGAATAACTTTTTAAGCCTAGTAATCATTCCTGGAATGAGGTTTTTAAATTTAGAGCTTTCTGCCTCCAAAACCAATTTCCACGGTAGCAGGCCTTCTAGAATACAGCAGAAAAGGGATGCATAAGGGCAAGAGGAAAAGGGGGATTTTTCTAAAAAGCACACTGCTATCTGTAGAATCAAATAAATAGTGTAGAAAATTTTAGGGGTTTACAGTAAAAAGCATGAATTAGGTTCATGCATTCATGATAGAGTAACACTTTAAAATGCCCTAAATATTCTTGCATCAAGAAGAAATCAGAATACAAAAGTTACTAATACAACTAACATGAAATGTAAACACTGTGTGTCAAAATTTGTAGAATACAGTGAAAGTATTTCTTAGGAAAGATGCTAAAACTAGTGAACTAAATTGTTGACTTAAAATGTTAGCATAGAAGATAACTGAAGGGGCTGGGGATTTAGCTCAGCAGCATAAGTGCCTGCCTTGCAAGCACATGGTCACGAGTTTGATCCCTGGTATCGATTAAAAAAAAAAAAGATAACTGAAGAAAATAGTATTGATTATGATATGAAATTATACAACAATCAGCTAGCTAGAGTGAATAATATAACCAGTATTGATTGTATGAAGCAAAAATAGTGTCTTAATGAAAATACCTGGTAGCAATAATAATACAAAGAGTATATGGATTTAAAGTGTTCTGAGGTCCAGACATTATTGAAAAGTGATTGAATACTGTTTTTTTTTTTACATAATCAAGGATATATATTATGATCTCTATGGTAGCCATTTAGAATAATGTAAAAGTATAACTAATGGATTCATAAAGGAAAAATAAGTAGTAAGAAAAAAACAATGCAAATGAAAGCAAGAAACAAGAAAAGGGAATATAAACCAGGTATGCCAAGTAGATAAATAGTTGGTAACTAAGTACCCAAATATATAAATAACTACATTAAGTATAAGTGAAGTAAATACTTCAATTTTGAGCCAAGTTCAAACACACACACACACACACACACACACACACACACACACACACATTCATTTTTAAAATGAATTTACCCTAGATAATGGACACAGCAAAGTGTCACAAAAAGAATAGGGGGGGGGGTAGGGAGGAAAGAAAGGAAGGAAAAAAGTTAAGAAAAGGAAAAAATGAAAATAGGAGAGGGGTTGAGGGGAGGGAAAGAGAAAAAAAGAATCAAGAGGTATCATGTACAGATACAAAAGCCCTATGATGAATGTGACCATTAGGTACACCTAAAATGTACCAATAAACTTAATTTTAAAAAGAAGAAGAGAAAATATTTTACCACAGTAATAGAGGCAGAGACAAAATTGCATTAGGGAGAAACTACCCAAGCCTAAGGAAAGCACATCTGGGGGAGAGAATGGAATTTTGTGTGGAAAGAGTATAGAAAGAATAAGAAACCTTAGCTGGGCGTGGTGGTGCACATCTGTAACTCCAGCCTTGGGAGGCTGAGGCAGGAGGATTGCTGCAAGTTCAAAGCAAGCCTGGGCTACATGATGAATTCAGGACCAACTTGAACTACACAGTGAGTACCTGTCTCAATCCCTCTGCCTCTCCCCGCAAAATAAGGAACCATCTGCCTTCTCTGAGTTTGGGATCCCTTTTTGGTCACTCAGCATTTATTCCTTGAGTATAGCCTTTGTGGTTCAGTGCTGGATGCTTAAGGTAGCTTTTTGGATCATCAAAATCTGTGTTGCAGGCACTTTTTTGTTATTTCATAGATTAGAAAGCCAAAGCTAAACCAGAGAAGTAACTGTGCAAGTCTGTTAATCACTCCCAGATTAAGTTTTTTAAAACTGAGGCCTTCAGGCCAGGACTTTAGCTCAACGGTACAAGTGCCTGTCTGGAAAGCACAAGGTCATGAGTTCAATGCCTAGCACAAAAAGAAAGAAAGAAAAAATTAGGGCTTTCTGCCTCCAAAGCCAATTTTCACAGTAGCAAACCTTCTAGAACACAGAAGAAAAGAGATGCATAAGGACAAGAGAGAGAAGGGGGTTTTTTAAAGCAGCACCCTGGTATTTGCACAATCAAGTAAATAGGGGGTGTAAATGACAAAGTTTAGGGTTTACAATGAGAGCATAAGTTGGGTTCATGCATTCACAGGTT